ATAGTATAAAGTATAAATTATTTTTATAATGGAGGGTGATTTCTCTGCTTGGTGAATCTGTCTTCAATTCATGGACACTGCAGGGTGTACTTGCAGCCTCATATTCAAGGGTTTATATGAAACCCCCATTATTGTTTGTTCTTCAATAAACTTCTAAAGCTTCTAAAGGCTAAAGCTGTGTGTGAGCTGTTAGTTAACAGCTAAAAAATTTGCCAGAACTGTTGTTGCCTGCCTAGCAGAGAGCTTGCTGTTTGTGAATGCTCAGAGAGATCTTGAATGAGATTATTAACTTACATTGCAATCAGTTTTTCTTCAGTGTTAATTGTGCTGCTAAATCCTAGGATATTGTGTTAAAAATAATTCCAAAGTCAGTGTCACATCACAGACACATTTTTGTGCTTAAAAGAACAGCTGTTTAAGTTGTGGGTCCAGTCTGCATATAAAAAACTCTGGTTTTGTCATGAAGCCTTTACAACCCAGCCAAAGGTCCTGCTTAGTACCTCTAAGTCATTAAAAAACAAACAAAAAAGCAACCATCAATCAGGTTGTAGCATTTTAAAAATGGGAAAATAATCCTGTTCTTCCCCCACAGAAGTGCACACATAGCTCTACCTATGATGTTTGGTACTTGGATTAAGTATTAGCTCCCTTTTGCACCCAGACTGTGCAAGCAGCTTGCAAATTATGGAGTAAAAATGTGGGGCTTGTAAATAAGTAATGCTCATGCATCTTTAGCAATAAAAATGGTGCTGATTGATATTCCTGAGCTTGCAACAAGAGGTGCAGGAACAGAGCTGGATATTTTTGCCTTTGAGGTGTTCACAAGTGTTCCTCCCTTGGGCAGTGGTGGGTTTGTTGAAGTAAATGCCAATGACAGTTTTAAATCTCAATAAAATGGTGGTTCTGGGTTATAGGTGAGTCCTTTCACCCTGAAGAATTCCTGATGGCTTTTCTAAAGCCCCATAATTCCTTAATCCTGCAAATGCAACTATATTGACAGAAAGTTGTTGTAAAGAGGAAAGGAGGAGACTTAAAGGTTGAGGGAACAGAGAAGTGCTTTGAGTTCCCTACTGTCCACAGGAACATTTGTGCAATCTCGCATGAAAGGCTGGCTTTGTGGTGTCAGAAATTGAGAGAGCTTTTCTCTTTTGTAGCACTCATCCAGGGCAGCTTGCAGAGATTTTATTCCTGTCTGCAATTCTCACATCAGAAGGAAATATAACACTCCTTATTGTGCCTCATCTATTTGCAGAACAAGTTCAGTAGAGTGCAGGAGGTCTGTTTTAGGACCAGGTCTGTACTGATGTCACTGCTCAGCAGCTGGGGTTGTGAAAAATTAATCCTCCCTCATAGAAATCATATTGTTAAAGTTTTTCTGGCAAGGATGTTAACCTCTGGTCTTTCCATCCTAGTTCTGCTATGAAAATGAATGGTCATTTAGAAACCATTAGCATTCTTTCAAATCAAAATACAATCACATCTTGCTAATTTCAAAGCCTTTTCCTCCCAACAAATCTCATTAATTATCACAGACAGGTGTTTTGCAACAAAAGCTCCTTCTTGCATTCTCTCTTCTTCTCCAGCCTCCTAGTTGAGCTAATGAAGCTCCAATGATGTCTGTGGAACAATGGAGCAATTTCTGTAACTGCAGGTTGGAGAGAACAAATAAGAGATGGTAATTGAGGAAGGGCCAGAGGAGAGGCTGCGGGAGCAAAGTTCCTCTGCCTGTGTAAAGAGATCTCTCATCACTGGTGATTAGGGAGGAAGCATTTAGAGAGACAGAAAGAAAGTAGCTGTGCTTAAAAAAAATAAAGGTTTTTGATAGTTTATTGATACGCAGATGCTGCTGTAGGAAAAGACCACAGACCTCGTTAGGGCAGCCTTTATTTCCTCGAGTTAATGGAGTGTTGGTTGGTATCGAGAGAGGGGAACAGGCATCACCTCCACACTGCTCCTGTGGGAAGTCACTTATCCAAAAAGCTCCCAGGCATGACTTGCAGCTGTGTGAATGCTGTTTACCAATGCTCCCTGCATAAATTGGATGTTTCTCTCTGGAATTAGCCAGGTTTCTTATCTCTGTGGAGATGTGCTGTGGAAATGAAGCCTATGTGCCTCCCCAAATATTTGAATCATATTTATAATTATAGCAAGTCTTCCTTCATGGTTGTTGAAAGCAGGTCCTGCCTGCTTTGCTTACACCTAGACAATAGGAAAAGGTGTTTTTTTAGCAGGTATGGTAAATAAATGATACACAGGTGTTTTGCTGGGCTGGTTGACAAGCAGCCCTGCCTTCTCTAGTGGTTATGCATTTTCACAATTCATACTGGATTATGCCTAGAAGCTCCCTAGTCCCTGCCTCTTCCAAATACATCTAGACATTTATATTCTGAACTCTGAAAATCAGCAGAATTCAAATACTTTTTAAAGCATATTTGAATTAATCATCAGCTACTCTGAAACTTCAGAGCAGTTCCCAAGGTTTTCAGTATGAAAACCAGGCTCAGGTGTGACCTCATGTCCAGGCATAAGTAGTTATTTTTCCTTTTTATTTGGTAAAGTAAGAGCTCTTATTTCAGGAAGGAATATAAGTATCTTCCCTGCAAAATCCAACAATGAATAAAATTACTTTCAGCCAAGTGTAGGTAATTCTGCCCACATGGAAGTCAGAGACCATGAAAATAGTGTTCAAAAGGCTCACAAAGAAATATATCCCTTTCTACCCTGTGGGAGAGGAAGGTGTCACAACAGGCACGTTTTTCTATCAGAATGAATGATTTAGTGGTTCCACCTCTCCTGATGAGCAGCTGAAGAGAACCACAGCTGGAAACTGGTGCCTTGGTCACGTTTTGGCTTTTTTAAGTAGACCAGTGGGGTTTGTAAGTTCCAGGAAGAGTTATTGCTGATGGAACCTCTGCAGATCCCAGCTGCATGAAACATGCTCTGGAAAAGACCAGAAGCTGGAGAGAATTGAGTGATGTGCACTCACCACATCCTCAGGGGGCTGTCAGGAGCCTGCTCACCACAGGTAAGAGAAACTCAGCTGTTCCAGGAGCTGGTTTTTCTCTGACATGTATATCTGCCTCCTCAGGCAAATCCATAGGTGTTTTGCTTCCAGCTGGATTTTATAATTTAACAACAACAATTTACAATTTTATAATATAACAACACCTTGTTCACCATAAAATATTCAGCAGGCTTCTTATAAAAATACTTTATTGAAGTTTTCAGAGGGGAGCAGACACAGGGAAAGGTACAAGCAGGTTCAACATTTATCCTGTCATTTCATAGCACACGTACTTTGAGGGGTGTATTTTAACCCATATATAACAGACTGACAGAACACATCACAAATCTGAAATATCACATACACAAGACAAGACATCATTTAAAACCTGACTTCAGATGACAATACTGATCTACTTGACAAATATCACTGAGATACAGTCAGATGCATTTTCTTTTACTCATAGCAACAGCCAAAAAGCAGTTTGCTTGCAACAGCAAAATGTAATTGGCAATCACAACATCATAAGCTTTTGGATACTACTTTACAACATTTGGGTTTCTATTTGTAAATGTAGTTCTAAGACTCAGGATCTTGAGCTTCCCTGTGCAATACTGTTAAATACGAGCATTTGCCATGGCAACTAATTACTTATTTGTGTTACTACATCACTGAGCAGTGCCAGCAGTGGAATTAATCTGCTTTTTGGTATTACTGCCTCTGTGCCCAAAGAGGCTGCAGAACAAATGGGCAACTGTGATGAAGCGTGAGATGGGAAGCAGAGCCATAATGCCCAGGATTTTACTGTGAGACTAAGGCTAGAGCCCTGGTCTCTATCTGTGTAATTAGTTGACAGCTCTAAAAGAAATTTAAAATTAAACAGTAAAATAATTGATGCTTGTGTTGACTGAATCAGTTCAACCCCAGGTCTCCAATGAAGTGAGGTATTTTAAAAGAATGCAAGGGTTCTGAAACCTGAAAAATTTAAGAGGTCTGAAAGGAACATTAAAAAAAGGAGCACAAAAAAACCAGCACAAGATTTGTTTCTCTCTGAGCTTGTCATTCCCTAACACAGTGCCAGAAGAGTATCTTTAAGGTCCTGTAGAAGAGATTTGAAATGTCTTTTCTGACATCCTGAGTCAGACTCAGGATGGAGCCTGTGGAGAAGCTGGTACTGTGCTGGCACCTTTCACACAGGCACAGGAACCCTTTTCTAGGGGCCTTTCAGGACCTGCTCCCTCTGCCTGGCTCTGGGCAGAGGGAAGAACTCCCTCGGGAGCCCTGGGCAGGGTGTGGCAGCACCCAAAGGAAATCAGAGCAGTTTTGAAGCAGGGAGGGTTCAGGCAATGCCAACAGCACACTTCAAGATGCTCAATGCCTCAGAGCCTGGCTGTAAACTGCTTAGGGCAGAGATCTGTCCCTTCTTGGGGTGTGGAAGGAACACCTATTGCACCCCATGAAACAGGGATCCAGATTATGGCTGCAGCTGCTGTGACAAAAATGATAAATGAGATGTTTTCCTTCTGAGGTTTGTTCTTTTCTTTCTGTATCATCTTCTATGTGTAATAGGTGTGAGGAGAAAATGCTCCCATTTATGATAAAGATCAGGTGTGCTAACAGCTAAGCTGTAGTTTAGTGCACTACTTTAAGCTATATATTTATTTTTATTACCTATTTTTTTTCTGTTTTGAGTTTATTGGAGTAAAATGCTGGTGCTGCTCAGGCTGACTAGGTGGCAGCAGAGCTCTTTTGTGGCACCAGCAAGTGGTGGACACAGATTTCACCACCTGTGCTTAATGTCAATAAACCCCTTTATCCTTCTTTGCAGTGGGATTTTGTTGTTGATGCACTAAAATAAGTTAATAGTGGGCTCTCTTCTGCCTTCCTCACCTGCTCCACACCACTGCTCTTGGGTTCTTCCAAGGAAACAAGATCCATTCCCGCAGCAGAAGTAAACCAAGGCTTTTCTCATCCTCACACTGGGCTGGCTTCACTTTCAGTAGTTCTGAAGGGCATTGTGAGGCTGAATCTTCAGCTTCTTGGGACAAAGGAGTTTAATAAAAGCCCTTCTGAAGCTGGAGTGGCAGAGAGGGTACAGGACAGGGTTGACAGCTGAGTTGATCCACAGCAGCCAAAAAGAAGTCTCATACCAGAACTCAGAGATGCACTGACCATGGCAGCCAGCGCGGATGATCATCAGGAGAGTGTACGGTGCCCAGCAAATCCCAAAAATGCCCACAATGATTGCCAGTGATTTGGCCACTTTCTTGTCTCTAGAGAGCCTGAAGCGTTGAGTTGTGCTCTGGGACATGATCTTCACCTGTTTCTCTGAGGACAGAGTGGAGGCTGAATTTTTACAGCTCTTTTTGTTGCAACACTTGGGTTTTCTGGAGCTCTCTGAGCTTGTTGCCAGCAGGTCTCTGGCATCCAGGCTGGAAGTGGAGGTTGGTGCTTGAGCTTTGCTCCTAGAGAGGTCGAGGGTTTCAGCTGACTCCTTCTGCTCCCACTTACAGCATTTCAAAGAAAGCTTTGCTTCTGGGCTCCTTTCCATCTCTTCAGTGAAGGACTGGTTGTGCACTTCGTGGAAAACATCCAGCCGCATTTTGGTGCGCTTCTGTATGTTCAGGTAAATGCTCAGGTTGAAAAACATCACGCTGATGAAAGGGGTGAAAAACTCCAGCGTGGAGGCTGTCATGAGGAAATACCAGTTGTAGAAGAACTCAGCGTAGCATTCCCCGATGGGGATGATGCTCTGGCCTGATATGTACTCCCAGCTGATAATGGCAGGTCCGTACAGCAGGAATGCCAACACCCACACCATCATCATCTTCAGCACTGCTTGCCTGGTATTGCCTTGCTGGGCTCTGTAGGCGACCTGCAAGAGGAAAGCCTTTTCTTACACACAGTCCCACACCCCAGCTGGCTGAGGCTCCTCACAAATGGACTATTAGCATTCCTGGTAAAGTTGCTAGGCGATATCCCAGCAGTCCAACAAATTGATATGCCGTAGGCAACAGGAGCAATTGCTAGATAAATCACACTCTTACAGGGAAGATTTAGAACTCTCCTTTTACAGCTTCAAAATATGGTGTCTGCTAAGTGGAAATGTACTGACTTGGCTGGAGCCTGGCAGTTGTCTGCACCCACCACTTACCTGAGCTGTCCCCAGCTACTCCCTGCAAGTCAAGGAGAGGGACTTGACAAACTCCTGGGCTAAATCTGTGTTGTTTTTGTAGTCAGGGAACGAACAGTAGTGGGTCAGATCTGCCTGTGAACTGCTCATTATCTCCTGCAAAAGGCCAAGCATTTTGGTCTCCCACACGCTCAGAGACCTCACCACATTCCCTGCTAAAGCTGGCCGTGCAATCTACTGCTGTGCTAGCCAGGGAGAAGCTGTGAGTCTGACTGCAATCCACTTGTTTGTCCTGGGGATAATAAGCTCTTGCAAGTTAGTTAAAAGTCTGCTTACCTGGCTGGTTTGCTTGTACACTACTATCCTGTCACCTGGGAAGGGAACACCTGCACAACGGGGACTGAGCCTTAAGTGATTTAATTATGCCAGGAAAACTAATCTGAAACCACAGCTGAAATATGTATTTGTGGATGATTATTGCCTTCCAGGCTGAAAGATTCGTCATTTCTGGAGGATTCAAAGAACTTTTAATTATTGCACAGAATAAAGCAGGAGGAGAGTTATGTCCCTCTCAGCTGCCATGACAGGACTCACCGCTCTTGTCACCGAGAGGAATCTGTCGTAGCTAATCAGTACGATGTTGAAGACCGAAGAGGTGCACAGCAAGTAATCAACCACCAGCCAGAGTTTGCAGAGGCTTCTCCCGAAGATCCATCTCCCCGTCAGCACATAGGGCACGTACAGGGGGATGCAGAAGGCACCTGCAAGCGGAGGGGTCCGTTCCCGGTGGGACTCGGGCTCTGCCCGGTGGCCGCCCCGAGGGACCCGGGCGGGTCCTTCCTTCCCTCTGCGCTCCCAGACGGAGGGAGCGGCCGGGGGGCAGCGGGAGGGGAGCGGGGACTGCGGGAGGGTGTCGGGGGCAGGAGCGGCACCGGAGGGGCGGCACGGCCCGGGGGCAGCAGCCGGAGCCCCGGGAGCGCTGCCCGCCCCGCCGCCGCCGAGTTGCTGCCGGGCCGTGCCGGTGCGGCGGGCGCCCCGCTGGCGGCACTTTACCTACGAGGAAATCCGAGATGGCCAGGTTGAGGAGGAAGAAGTTGTTCTGGGTGCGCAGGCTGGAGTCCGCCACGAAGGCCAGCATGACCAGCGCGTTGCCCGCCACGGTGACGGCGATGAGCAGGGCCATGAGCGCTCCCAGCGCTGCCGTGCCCGCGGTGGGGAAGCGGCCGGCGGCGGTGGCGGAGCCGTTCAGCGCCCCCCCGCTCTCCATGGCCC